ATCTTTGATATTTGCAGCTCACAAGAACTGCTTGGCCCCCCAGAACCAAGGCAGTTTTTTTTCCTGTTAAAAGAAATATAGAACAATTATATACTAAAAAATGCTTAAGGAGGATGCTAATAATCTGTTTCTTAAACTTGAAGAGGAAGAGCCAGGAGGTGTAAAGCAATACCCTCAAAATCAGAAAGTGGAAATCTTCAAACCACTGCATTTTCTGTTCCTGCTTCTTCCACACATCAGCATGTAAAGCAAGGGAACGGGCAGGGAAGCGCCAACCCTGGACCTCTTTCAGCAGTCTGCAGTCTTGCACCACCTCAGAAACCAATAATCATTACAGGCAAATTCAGGAAGCACAACTGGAACTCTCTAAGCCAGGGGTACCAAAACTACAGGAGGTCACAAAAGAGAAGGTAACAAAGCTGACAGTAAACACAGAAAAACCGGAAATGTGTTAGTTCTTCAGCAACTAACATTTTAAGCCACATTCTAATGCGGAGAACCCAGCTGCAAACCTTTTTCCAGGCATCAAACTCATACGTGCTCTCTGTATGACTGGTCAGCAAGAAGATTCAGTCTTCTATTTGAGCACTAAACTTAGAGGTCAGGCAAGTTGGCCAAAAATTTATTTAACATCCTTGTAGCTTATTACTGAAGTAACTGTGGCTTGCAAATCCTTCTCTCTGTTAAAAAATAAAAATAAAGCTGTTCATATATTAGTTGCAATGTATATTTTTTTTGCACCTTGCATAGAGGAAAAAGCTCAATAAACAGAAAGGCAACTAAAAATATATCTGTTTTATTTACCAGTTTTCTAAAAAGCAAAGTCATAAAAATTAGTCACAAGTGGCAAAACCAAAATATATTGCACAGTGTACAGAAAACATCTTTGACATGTTGACAAAGTGTCATCACAAATAAGTCATCTTACAACAGTTTGGAAAAATTACAGCTTCAGAATCTTATCTATAAATGGAGGCATGTAGATTTAAAGTTACAGGAAAATATTTTAATACCACCCTGTAAATGCAAACACTTTAAAGGATGCAAGAATAAGATCTTAAGAAAGCACATCCACAAAATGCTCTAAATATACTTTTCTCTTCCTTTCACTAAGTTATGCTTACAAGATGGTCATTAAAGAAAAAAACCCAGAAAAACAACAAAAACAAACAAGGATAGAGAGCATGCTAAAGCAAAGAAGTTCACAAAGTGGTTCAAAAGTCCCTGAAAATCATTTGTATTATTATGATGCACTCCTTTATATAAAGCTTTTATTTTCCCAAACCCTGGTCCAATTAAAACCATTTGCTTTTAAATGTAAAAAATAACAAAAAAAAAGAATAAAAGAATACATGTCATATGCTGGCATAGTTGCACTGTTCCATTTATGATTGAAACATTTAATACACCAGACTTAAACACCAACATTTAAAATTTTCTCATTCACTTTATATTTACACACGTTTAAGTTTGATCTTGCTAAACTATGAAAGACAGGAATCGGATCTTGCTGGGTAGTGTGTCACACTACATTTAAGATAGTAACTCTAAGCTGTGATTGTTCTTGTTTCACAAGTTCATTCTCTGCTAACGTGAGAACCTGTCTCCAGTGCAAGCTGCCTGATGGATGACACTGTCCAGTTAATAACTAATTATTTTACACAGGCTACTGCTTCCACCCAGCAAAAACCAGCCACTTCTGCACATGTTTTTGGTGGTGTTAAATGAAACTTCTTATCCTCTTTATAGGCAGAGAGAATTTTTCTTTTTTCATAGAATGAAGGTAATCTTAAATTTCAGTGAATAGAAATGTTATCTAATTAAAAAAAGAAAAAATAAAAAGAAAAACCCACATATTTCATGAGAAAACATTTTAAGACAAACATGTCAAAGTTAATTGAATTTCTCCCTATGTTCTCCAAGGCCTACAGCTGATATCTAGCAGTACTGCAACTAAATGCCCTTTACGTAACCAATATTGATGAAGTTTTTGTTTGTTCTCTTCCCCTGGCCAACATGTATGAACAGCACAAGAACATAAAGTACACATATTCAAGCCAATACAATCTCAGAGACATCAGATTAAATCCTTGACAACAAAGGATTCTACCCACACTAAGCTTTAGATTATGCAGTTCAGGTGAAATTGAGTGTTAATCTCTTCTTTTTATAAGAACTTCCTTCAAAATAAGAGAAGCATCTCCTCTTCTCTTGCCAAGTGCAAGTTTGATGTTTACTTAGCCAAATAGGAAAACTGATGGCCAACATTGACGGCCAGCTTCACGAAGGGACAAATCAGAAAGACAGGTTGGATCAAGTCATACCAAGCTTCGTGTGCCAGATGCTGGAGCAAACACAGTCCTTCTCTGTCGTCTCAGTTCTTAAATCTTTAAGCATAAAAATATCCTGCGGGTAAGTCCTCAGAAACGACGCTTCAAGATAATCAACAGATCACAGTACTGCAGCATCCATTTAAATAAAAGGCTACAAAGTTGTCAGCACTTCTCTATACTTTCTCACACATTCATATAAGAAATTTCATCTAAGGCCTTCTTAAAAAAAAGTTTTATCTTGGTTTTAGACAAAAAATAAAACAAGAAACGTTTAATTTTGACTAAAAAGTCAAAACTTGAGGAAACAAAGATGATTGGATCAACTGGTATGAGATAGACAAGTGTGAATTAATTTGCTTGAAGGTTATGTCTTCTATTGTGCTGGACCACTTCAAATATTAACAGCAATGCTAAAGAGCTATTAAGCAGAACTGCTAGAACAATTTATAATGCTGCATCACTACTGAAAGGAGATTTAAAGAACCGCATGTACATACAGGGATTTTCAGTACTCATTAACCCACTCAACAAAAACAGTAGGCATCAATGAAAACCTCTATAGTTTATAAAGAAATACTTGAGGCATAAGTGCAAAATATTAGTCTTTTTTTTAAAAAAGAAAAGAAAAAAGAAAAGCTGTACCATCTTCAACAATGTCCTTACTGGGAAGAGATTGCCACCATTTAAAAAAGAGATTCTTTCACAAATGACTCTTCTAAAACAGAAAAAATACATTTGTTTTATGAACCAGATTCATCTTGCTGGAAACAAGATTAAAACCTTTATGGATCATCACTGTAATTTTGAAGCAGCTTTAAAAACTAGAGGCTCAAAGGCTATGTTTGTTCTTCACTGACTTGACTCAGGGAAACCAAGTTGTTCTCCCCACTGTCTTCAATCATTTCATTAAGGTCCATTTCATGGATTTCTTCATCGTACGATGTATAAATATTGCTCTGTACGTTGTCCTCACAGAAAATACATTCCTTAAAAGGAAAAAAAGAAACATTCAAAAGTCAAAGAAAAACAACTTTTTCCCAGTCACCTGTCCATTTCTATGTGATGCCTGATTCCAAGACAACCCTTAGAACGGCGCTGCAGCTACACTAGACACAACCCACCCCTCCAGCTTCTCCCAGCCACAGCGATTTTATAACTCGTAGTAAATCACCTTTGGTAATTGCAAAGTCTCCTGGAAGCAGTTACGCCACAGATCTTTGAAAATACTGAAATTTATATACTGAAATATGTATTTATACACAAAATCATGAAATTTCTGGATATACCTATACAGAATTTCAAATATTTATGGGTAGCTTTTAGAAATAAGGAGGTAGTTTTTCCTTTTCTGCTTGCTCATCCACTACTTGGACTATTCCACTGGAAAGAACACAACAGCAAATTAAATCAAGCCACAAGGCCCTGCATCAAAAAATAAATTAAACTGTTGCCCAGCATAACTAGCCAAACTTTCCTAGCGACAGAAACAGAGAGGCCTAGCAGAGGCAGCTAATCATTTAAGCATTGTCAGTAACGAAGTCATGAACTATTTTAAACTTACCGAATTAGCTACTGTTTTTGGCAATCCACCTTGCTGGATCCATGGATGAACTTCAATAAGCTCTCTTTTTTGTTCCTCTGTAAATTTTGGCTGTAGTTTCAGCATTTGCTTTAATTTCTGCTTATCTTCTTTTAAAACTGTTTCCAAATCTCTAAAATACAGTATATTTACAAGGTGAGCTACAGGAGTTTCTGGACTTAATACTTACATGAGGTTACATAGTCCAATACTAACATTCCTAAAGACTATTTTTGTTTTGGAACATTTAGCTTAAGCTTTTAAAGGAAGAAAAAAGGTATGGTTATTTTTCTGCATTTGCAGACAGCTTTAGGACATCTCTGCTCACTCACTGTCTATTCAAATATCAATGAAAACAGTTTTCCCAATAGCTATTCAAGCAGCACCACCAGTGAAACCACCAAGAGCTCCAGTTTTCTTCTGCTAGGAGACAATTCCAAGTTCCCCATCAACAGCAAGGACAATCGAAAACACACAGTTGCTGCACTAACAAAATACTAAAACAAGTAAAATGTATTTAAGCCAGTCATTAAGAATAAATTAAGCTTCAGGACAGAGAGGGAGAAAGTTAGAAAGCTTTTCTATTTAAGCAGCAAGAGTTCTTGTGTTTTTTTTTTCTTTCCATTTTGACACACTGATTCAGAGGCATTAAATGCTCAGAGAAAGAAAAAAAAAAAAAAAAAAAAAAAAAAAAAAAAAAAAAAAAAAAAGGGGGGGCACCCCCAAAAAAAAAAAGGGCAGACAGATTAGTGAATCACAGATGGTGACACTTTGAGGCCAACAGCCACAGAGCACAGTCCTTCCACACTGCAGACCCTCATCTGCCCTAAGCAGATGTGCAAGGAGCTATTAACCTATTAACTAGGCTGCAATAATTTGCAGGCAAGTAGTTACAAATCACAAGCTTTGCACCAGCTTCAGCAAATCTAACAGTAATTTCTACTCAGTGCAACAGATGCAGAAGCGCAGGTAAGATCCATCAAGCAATTCTTACATCTACCCTGTATACTACAGCAAGTCCTGCAAGAAGACATAAAAGGAAGCAAGGATTCTTCTTTGCACTGAGCTAAGCGTTATCATAAATTTGCTCTTGAAATTTCCACTGAAACAATAATTCATAATATAAACTCCCATCCCCACCCAACACATAAGCAGCTCATGAAGGACGATGAGGTTGGAATTACCGAGAAGGTATCTGGTAAGTCATCATAACAGTGTCATCTGTGTTGGCCATCAAAAGCCATATAGGATCTTGAAGGACATACTTAATGAAGTGCTCGCTTTCTTCTATTTCTGTCTTCATTTTGGTTTTATGATGATTTTCCGAGGAGTCAATGCTCCCAAAGTATTTGCTGGTATGACTAGTTTCGCTGCTACCTTTAAAGATAATTTTAAAAAATCATTATAAACGCAATACACAGATTGTTGATATTTTTCCTAAAACAAGACTAAGGAGTACTGAAAGTCTAAGTGCAATCACTTGGCTAAAAACATGCAACTTTGCTCAGAAAAAAAGCTGTTTTAATATTTCCTGAGGCAAATCAACCAACCAACAAAAAAAAAAGCTAAATTCCCATTAAATTATGACAAAAAATTAACCAGTTGAACTTAAAATAGTCTGCAATGAAACACCAATGAGCACGATCCTTTCATTATTCTGTCTTGCCCATATTACATAGTTTTATCGATACTGCTTTAGATGGTTAGAAAAATCTATTTTACACACTGTACACATTGAAACAAATGTAGAAGTTCCATATTGCAGATCAAGTGCTAGATAAAGAAGAATCTCTCCCATTACTTAATAAAAAGCCCAAGAGAATTAAGCCATGAGAATTAAATATTCTGATATAGAAGCACTTGACATTCGAGCACTTGATATTTGCACTTGATAGTGATATCCGCACCCCAACACTTCCAAACGCTGCCAGGGAAACTCTGTTCACTGCCAGTTACCTGTCCTGCTCCCTGACATGCCGCAGCCGTTGGATCCGGAGCCCAGGGATTCAGCAGCTGCAGACACACCACTGCCTGACGAAGCTGAGCCCGTGCCTGAACACGCATCTTCCTGAAGCAGAATGTCAAGCAGGGCGCTGGACATGGAGAGCGCATCGCTATTCTGGGCATCCATCGGAGATTCGGCCTGCTGATGGGAAGGGAAACAAGAACCAGGATTATTTCATCACTACTTACATTTCATGTAATAACTATTAAGTGAAATGGATTTCATTTTTAAATGACTTAGATTGCACAGCAAAGTCTCCACGAGCTGGTAGCACTGACAGTAACTGTAGATTTTACTGATTTCTTACTGCATTAGAGGACCCAGATATGCTTAATATTAAAACCACTCCTGTTCCAGTGGCTGCTCTCCTTTCAGGAGCAGTGAGTCCAGTTGTACTTTGGAACAACAGTACCAGATGCAGCAACCAAAAGCCATAATAATAATAATAATATTATTACAGTAATAAGCCATAGCAATGAAAGAAGGGAGAAAGGAGCAATTCCTAAAGGTTTAGGTTGCATCCTTATCCCATTAGACTTAGCATTTATAAAAGTAACTTACAGTAAAAAGACATTAATATTCATGTCATTAGTGTCATAGAAGTCTCCACAGAGGTATGACTCCACCTGAGGTTTATGTCACAAATTTTTGATTTGTTAAACAGATGCTCATAATTTACATGAGCAAGGAATCTCTAGGCATCTCTATCCATTAACTGTCCTAGTCCTGGCCCCCTGGGCATAGCTATCTAAAATAAACAAGCAACCATTAGCAGACTTACCGGTAAAGATCCCTTTCCACTACAATCATCCGTTGTCATGATTTTGCCGATAGCTCCTTCCTCACTTAAAGCCCCATGTAAGCCTGCAGCAGCTCCACCTTCGGCAGTTTTGGTGGTTTCTTCCAGTTGTAGGAGGTTCAGAGGAGAACTGCACCTTGACTGGAACAAGGGTGGGGAAGCCTGGTCGTGCGGCCCGACCGACTGTGGAGTGCAGGAACGGGACGGCTCATTTCGTGCCTCGGTGACAGGAACCTTCTCACTCTCTGCTGGTGGATTGTAATGGAATGGCTGCGTTGGAAAAAACGCCTGTTGTGGGAAAGGGTTGGGGGCAGTGAATGGTGGCTGTGCTGGAAATACTGTCTGTGAGGAGAAGCTGGAATGGGCAGGAAAGTCTGGCTGGCTGTGGTAAAGGGTTTGAGGTAAGTTACTGTTCATCTCCGGGTACACATAGTTGGGGAGCACAAGAGCTACCACCGGTGTCATAAGGGGTGCAGAGAACTGGGATGGCTGCATAGGGCAGGGATTTCTGGAGTCTGGCAGCTGATTAAACCCAGGCAGCGGAGCCTCAGGAGCCGGCGGCACAGTCCCGGCTGCTGGAAAAACAGGAAGTGGATACGCAGGCATAACGGTTGGGAAAGACACGGCCGAATAGCTTGTTTGGGAAGTGTCTGAAGGTGACCAAGCTGTGGTATTTAAGCCCTGAAGAGGGAACCGATGGGGGAACTTGGTTCCAGAAGTGGTACTGTCTGAAGATTCCTGTGGTTTAATGCGTTTTGATTTCCTGTTTTTTCCACTTTTCTTCCAAGGCTGATCCACCCCAGAAGCACCATTTCTTTGTCCACGGCCACCTAGGACGGAAAAAAAAATAAAGGAAGAATCCTACTTGCAATCTGGTGACTGCCTTTCACTTGCTCATCTCTCGATGTTCAAAACTGTCGTTCTGGACTTCATATGTCAGAACAGAACCATGAGGGCAAAGGCAAGGTTCACTCTAAACTATGCTGACACACTGAGGGAGGAAAGCAGAACTGCACAGAATCAGTTAAGGCTCAAACTTGGGCTGCCAACAAACACATCATTGCAAAGAGTAGCTCCCAGACAGGCAAAGTCCTCCCACAGTTACAAAGAAAGCAGTACTGGACATGGCTGAAAGCACTTCTGGAGAGCTCCACTCATACTGGCCCTTGCTCCAAGGGTGAAAATAAAAGAGAAGGAAAGGAGAGGAAATGGACATGAGAAGGATTTTCTGTGGGGATAAAGCATGCTAGCTACCCAAAGTCTAGTAGGAAAAGCGTGGAACTTTATTTTAGGAGAAATCTGCACCAAGTGACTCTCTTCCCAAGTGAACCCAAGTCTGTCTCCTTACAGACAGAGAGCAAATCACTAAAAAAAGTTAAAAACTTGAACAATTTTGAATTCTTCTAGGCTTTATCAAGAACTAACACATTAGAATTAAAGAAACCTGTTCTGGAATTGTTTAGATCTGCTATACTATCGAAACAAAAAATGCAAAATGAAGGCCTGCAGAAAGTGCTTGGCACTGGCTAACTTGTGTTCTAAGCAGAGTCAGGACTGTACTAAGCACTTCTGAAAAATGCTATTATGAGTTCTTGGCTCTAACAAACAAGATTGTCTGAAGTAGAGAGATAATCTGCTCTGTTCCCAGCCCTCACTGGCCACATTCTGGCCAACCTGCCAGACCTGATGGCATCCAGACCATTATCAAAGGATTGAAACTGATGGCAGTGAGCAGCCAAATTGGTTTGCATACCGTTTTCCCCTAAGGACCTGTTGAGGGAATCCCACAAAAGGAAAGGCAGAAGTAAAAGAAAAAAGCAAGGAAGGACCAGGACAAATATGAAGATATATACTTTTACCCTTTCATACTGGATATGTGGGAGCAGTCACTTAACGAACTAACAAAATTAAAACAGCAGTTATTACATTAACAGCTGTATTCCACTCAAACCTCAAGCAAGACTGCCACTAGAAAGTGTTGCTGGGAATTTAAAACTGGTATGCAAGTGTCACTAGGCACAAACACCCTACAATACAAATGCAACTACCATCTTAACAGGATTCCCTTCCTTTGTAAAGTCATGTTTAATCATGAAAGTTATTTTCATACCACGTTCAGTAGGACGTCCTTTGGGTTTATCTTGTAAGTAGTAATTGCAGTGGGACTGGAAAATATTGAACTTCTTGATTTCTTTGAACTTATTCAAAAAGCTCTGCTCTTCTTTTTGAGTATGCACTGCAAGGACTTCCTTAGTAAGCCCTAGTTTTTTAAATGACTCCTTTTCCTGGTTTACATGCACAGAGCTGGATGGAGGGGCAAGAAGTTGGCCATCCAGGAGTTCTGCTCCACCAGGACCATCTTCTATCATTTCTAAACAGAAATAGGGAGAAAAAACACACATGCAAAAAAAATTAAGTTTAAAAACTCTACATGCATTTTGAAACTATTAGAATCCCATAGCAATTCTGTTGTAAATTTAAAATAGAAATTATGTCCCTCTGTTTCATTTCCATAGAGACATAATAGCTATAAGAAAATGTAAATCACCAACAGGTACTAGTTATTTCAACATTTGAAGTTTAAAACTAGTAGCAATTACCATTTTGGAGAAAAATGTCATTATCAAAAAGCATACCTAATTCAGGTTGTGGCTTTTTGTCTCCAACATGCACAATGGTGCTACTGTAGCTGCACTGACTTGTGAGAGATACAACACTTTCTGGTTTGCCAGGCAAAGCCAGAGAGGTTAAGTGAGCACCAACTACTGGCGGGGCACTTGATTTATCAGATGCCTTCAACACAGCAGGGTCTATAAAAAAATAAAAATATTAATAAAAAAGATTATAATAGATCATAATTTACTAAAGGTAAATATGAGCAAATCAAAGTAATATGTTGCTAGGATTGTAGAGGCTAAACTGTTGTTGGCAAGACAGGAAGTAAACTTTTTACTTGACTTTGTGCATTTGATCAGAAACACCTTCGGAACGAAACAATTCCTGGGCCATCACAGCTGGTCCACTAATCTCAGGCACAGCCAAAGCAGATGGTTTAAAGAAAAACTCCTGCCCTTTCCTCAGTTTTCTCCTCCTTTGATGGCACAATTTCAGAAAAAAAGCTTCTATATCCTAAGCCTAAGACCTCCTAGCTCCAAGCTTGTTGTACACTAATCTCATTAAGTGGTTATCCCAACAGCTTTGTTCTGAGCATCTGCCTATTTAGGACCATTCAATTGAAGGCCATAGTCAATAACTCAGCAGAGGCCACACCAGTGCCTCACAAAATAGCATCAGAGCATTTCTTCTTCTGAGGAAGGAAGACCTGGTGTAATTCAGACCTCAAGTTTGCCTCTGTACATTATAAAACAATCACCAATTGCACCTATTCAGTATTTTATTTTGGGGAATTCTTGCAAAGGCATATTGTAGCACGCAGCCGAATAATAAAAAAAGAAAAAAAAAACATAGTATCACAGACAGACCTCCCAAGGGTTGTATAGTATTGTCAGCTGTTTTTGGTTCATGAACACCAGCATTCAGTGATGCAACATTCGATGAAGGTTCACATTTTCTCTTTGAGGTACCAGGCACGTTACAACTCTCCAAATACCTAAAACATGAAGAGTTAGCAAAATTAGAGATGCAATAGCTAATTGATATCTCTTCAGTCTAGAGGTCAAGAGCAGTTATATAAAGTAGTTGCTTACCTGATGACACTGTCCAAACAGCTAATCTGTTGATAAGAATATACAGGCTGTTCCTTCCAAGCTAGCTCCTCAGTACCCACATTTTTAGGAGCAGCTGAGACTGTAGTATCCTTTCCCGTCACATCTTTAACACCACCTCCAGGACCACTTTGTTTTTCTGTTTAAAAAGAAAAAAGAAAAAAAAAAAGAAAATATACTGTTATTGTGTATTAATCCTTGCAAAATCCTAAAAGCAATAGTAAAACAGTAGATTTTGAAATTCATATCTATTTAACAGATCAAAAGTTGGGCTCAGTACAGCAAGATGTCTTAAGCTAATACTAATGTCTTACCTGCAAAAGGCTCTCTTTTCTGTTCCAGTTTTGCTTTACTGTCAGTGAAGATATGTTGTCCCTTATTTTTGACCTTACGGGCACCTTGAGAAGTCTCCTGAAAAAAGACCATCATAAATAATTATTAGGAAAATCTGTCCTCAGATGTCAGGCATGTTGACTTCTTCATAAGCTTTACCCAGTGTTAGCTAACAGCTGTGTAAAAGTTACTCTGATTGTGGCAGTCCTCATATATAGAGTTTTATGGTCTATCAGCAGAATATTGGGAACTAGAAAGAGAAGAAACTTAAAATTTGGCTTCTTTAATTTAATATTTTGTTTAGAACGACTTCAGTAATGCATCTTTAAGTTTTCATGCTTTCCTATCAATAAGAGTTCAGAGAACAAAACAATATAAACCAGAGTAAACAAAGTATTACTGCTAAAACTGAACTTTTGCTGCTGAGAGTTTAAGCAAGCACTGACAGGATGCTGTTGAACTATGCTTTACTACAACAGTCTTCATTATCTGTAGATATAGTGAAGAACTAAAGGCTCGTGCCTGTCTCTCAAAAACAAGACCTCCTTGAGCCTTTTTTGTCTATATAATTCTAAAATTTAAACACGTATCTGTTAAACAAAACACTCAGAGACTTCATTCATCTAAGCCACTACTGTTTGAATACTCCAAGCAAGAAAGCAACCACCTGGGCAAGTGAGCCAGTCTGCCACGCACAAACACAAAGCTCAGGCTTGGGGGATTTTGCCTATGAGCTCTGACATAGCTCATGTTCCTTTCCTTTCCTTAGAAAAGAGTAGAGGAAAATACTGACTTTCAGAAATTAAACTCAGCTCTAAAGGGCTACAACAAAAACTAGGCAAAGTAACCCAATTCTAAGAATAGGGATGTTAGAAGACAGTGCAGCTTCTTTGACCGCATTCACATTCAGCACACTACTGTCTGTCTCTTGTTTACTTTGACTATGCAATAAAACAAAAAGTTACATCTTGCTACCAATCAGATGTAGGGATTGTCTGATCTACAGTAATACTAAATTTTCAATTATGTTAAACTGAAAAATAATCAAAAATTTTAAAAAGCTTTTATTAGTTTTTGTGACGACCAAATACTTGAATAAGAAAAACTCAAACACCTACTGGTTTATCCTTATGAGCATCTTCATTGTTATTTCCTGTGCTGTCGCTGGATGATGCCACACTCATTAAGTGCTCGTGTGAGCCATTGCTACCCAAACTTCCATAGCCACTGGATCCACTGTTGTGTACGGGCTGTTAACAGCAACAACGTGTTATACATTATGTACGCACACAATCATACACACAAACACACTCTTTTGCACGCCAGCTTCAAATAAAATTGGAATAAGGAAACTGCTAATAAGACAACATAAGGATTTTTTTTTAACTAGTCTTCATAGAGGCATAAAAAAATCACTTAAAACACCATATACAGCTTTTAAGATAGCTCAGTAAATCACATCCAATAACCAGGAGAGAGAATTATTTCCAGGAATGAAACTCTAAAAATCTACCACTGTGCTGGGATTTAATCTATAGTGCTAGATTTTTTTTTTTTTACCCAGTAGAGTGATAGATTTTTAAAACAGCACCTAAAGACAAATGCTCTTCCTTCAGTGGAGGATTAAAAGGGGAACATGAAAACATGTTCTGTACCTGCAGTAATAGCCGATATATTTGCTCAGTGATTTCCTGAACACTGGGATGAAGGATTCTATCCTCTGTATAGTTGGGAGCAGCAAAGACATCTTCATTTAAAGGACCCCTGCATAAAACAAACATATCCCCACCAGTTACAAAAGCATGTACTTCAGTAACAAAGAAATCACGATTTCAGTTTATTACCAAATACATTGTAAATAAACACAACCTTATTCTTACTCTGTTAAATCTTACTCTGTTGCAAATTGGGAAAGTTGCTATCTGCTAAGATACATATCCTTGCCTCACTTGGAGCCCCATTTCTGTTCTGAGGAAATTCTTGACAATATCGTCAAAACTTGCAGTACTTCAAGTTTCTTCTTAAAGCAGTTAATACCTTATAATACACACTTGCAACCATGAAACCCAAATACAGAAATAAGAGGCAGCAATTTGAATCTGTGATTTCTTCCTATAAACCTCTTGTAGTCTCAGTTAAGGACTATTGGGTAAGCTTAGGGAAAAAGATACAAAATTCTAGTAATTTATAGACTTACGTCCGAACTTTGTGTCTTCCAATGATAAATGAAACTTTTCGACTCCAAGGATTGATGAAACTGGACCAGCTAGTGTCCATAGTTATATAATCTCCATTTCTAGTGCAAAACCTAATTGGTGAATAGTCAAAAGGTTGTCCTCCATACTGAAGTACTGTAATAAGTGATTAAAAGAAAGCAGTTTAGTATCTGTCGGCCAAAAAAAACACTTAGCAATTTATGATTTTACAGTGACATCTACCAGGCTAAAGAGACTTTCATAATATCCTAGACTATGCCAGCAAATTAACAGCACAACACAGCAAGCCAAGGAAAGACGACTGAAGACACAGGTTAATAAGTCAGCATTGCCAGGATGTCTCATGTTTTCTCTGCCATACTATGAACCTAGAAACGCTACCATTGAGATAACGCCTATCATTACATTCTCAGGACAGTTTTCTTAAAGTATGAGGTATTCTTGTAATGTCACTATTTACAGCAGTCATTTATCTTTCATATCAAATCTCAAATTGAATCATTCTTCATTTTCATGAGTTTGCAATAAGGAACAAGCTGTAGAGTTAAGGAGTATTTCACCATTGCTTTACTTGCCAGAAGAGTCAGGCTCAGTATTAATTATTACCTCCACCCCAGAAAATGTTTTTAATCAATACTATTAATTCTTAGAAATAAACAATACTTAAGACAATAAAAATTGACTTACTTTTTTTGTGAATTGCTAGCATTAAGGGTCTGTCATTCGGGTGAAGATGCACCAAGACTGGCGTTCCTATTAAGTCCTGAGGTAGGTATCCCAACAGAGGTACCGCTCTGGGGAGATTAAAACAAACAACAATATATATATATATATAAATATATATATACACACACACACACATTAAGTGTACATTTATTTTTTAAAGAGATCTCCATTTCAAGTCTTCTTCACTACTTTTTTTCTTTATTAACAAAGAAAAATGTGGCATACAACAGTGCTGGATTAATAGCAGAAGTGCTCTTTGAGCAAGGCTCTTTCAAATCATTTCATATGTGTTCAGACCAAGTCAAGGAGTTGGTCACAGCATTTCTCCAGTCTTTTCCATGCTGCCCTGCTCTGGAGGATGCTTACCCTAATTTTGAAAGCGCATTAGTAAAGTTTAATCTCATAAAATTCTCATGCAAGTAAGTAGTACCCCCAACGTATGGGCTGCAAGCCAGGGGATAAGGATCACACAGAATTACTATAGCAGAACCAACAGCATAGTTGGCTAAGGCTCAAGAAAACTCATAGGCAGGTTAGGAGTTTATCTCAAAGGAGTTGCAAGAAAAGAAACTTCTTAATTAAAATATTCAGAGATTTAAATCATGTTGATAGTTTCCTACATGTTACCAGTAACATGAAACTGTTTTTATCGACCAATTAGATCGTTTAACCTTAAGTACGCAAAAAGCATAAAAAAGAGTGAGCATTCGCTAATGTCAGATGGCCTCTTACCCTGACAGCTAACCTCCAAAAACCTATTTTGACCAAGTATTAAATTGTACCAAATCACACAATCTTGAAACACATTTAAAAATGCTGCCCATAAATGTGCTTAAACTCCATATAAAAAAAAATAAATCTGTTTTCTTCCACTTCTTGCAACTTTGTGGTAATCCTAACAGAAGTCAGGTAGAATAGAAAAAATATTTTTTACCCTTTGAACTCCCCCCCGCCTTCTTTGTTTTGCACTGCTCTTTTCCTTTGCTTCCTGCTTTTTGGAAAACACCCATTGTGCTCATCTCTGTCCATGGAGATTTTCAGACCTTGTCCAGCTGGGCTAACAAAAACCTGGACAACAGACACGCTTAAAGAATGAGATTGGAGCAGAGGCTCCCAGCTGTCCTTTCCAACCAGCTCTTCTGTGATCATACAACAGTCTATTTGAGAATACATAATTTATTATCTACTAGAAGCAGTAGCTCATCATTATGCTTCCTCATGATGAATAACTTGAAAAATAATTCAGAGTTGAAGTAATAAATTTGTTTCATGAATGCAAATGCACATATGGTAAGAGAATGGCTGATGAGGTGAGGCAACAAGTTTGTCTTGTGTTTGATAAAATGTCATTTAAAGAGTCAAAACAGCATGCAATAAGAACTCTCCTTATGTTCTTATTGCAAATTAAAATGCCAGGAAACTACTTCCATTTCCTCCATTAAGATTTCTCTATTGTGAGCTATACACAAGTTCTTTAAAAGAGAAAGAAAAAGATGTTATACCCACCAATATCAAATTCTGAAGATAGAATTTAAGGAAAATATTTACTTGTACAGAGCACATTGAATGCAAAGAACCATTTCCAGCAGTAAGACCAATAAACATTTTTGCAACCTCCAGACACACACTGATCACAGTACAAACCTTTTTGTGCCAATCTAGTAACAGTTTCAGAGTTACATTATTAATTCACACTAGCCAGCAGGTATTCCACTGTATATTTCCAAATTCTAGGCTCAGGTTTCTCAGAGAACTTACTGTAGTAGTATTATAGCTTGAGAACAATAAGCAGCTCCATACACATATCTTTATAAATGGTTATCTGGACACTAATACTCTCAGGAGTTAAATAATGAAAAATAAAAATCACCCGCACAGGTTGAGAAGACAGAAAGCAAAGTCCTCCCCTCAGACTGAGGTGTCATGGACCCTCACTGATGGTGAATGTGTAAAGACATGTGAGACTCAGCACTGACACCAGACTAATATGCAAGATGTTCCCACAGTGACAGCCACAGAGAAGGGATTTCTCATTGACTAAATAGCTCTTCTGTCAACACAGCTTTAGCTGTAAACTATATACATCACGGAAAAAAAAAAGTCAGCATTACAGTCTTCTCTGCACACTAAACCACAGTGTCTGTACAAGGCAGACAAAAATAGCTGTACACGTTCACCTTGACGCTGACACTTGCTCGTGCTGATTAGCCATTGTATTGTGCTCTTCCACTGCAATCTCTAAGAGCTACTTCTTGCAACTCTTGTTTAAGCAAAACAAAATAAATGAACAGAAACACACACATGTTGACGTTATACTTATGGTCCTGACCACCCGTTTTTGGATATGACACCAACTAAAACTACGAACACAGCAGTTTCAACTCAGAACACAAAAGATAATCCATTTATAAATGCAATTAATGTTGCAGTAAAATAAACAAACATTCTCACATCTCTAGCCATATCTGGGTGGGCAGGAGAAAATGACTGCAGCTTATGTGTTGCTAAAAATCAGGATAAGCTTATAAGAAGTTTGTTGGTACAGGAATTTTCCTGCCTGTGGGGCTCATTCATGGAATTTATGCCCAAAGTTATCTCAGACGGAAGGAAAACCGAAAAATAAGTTTTTAAAAGGCAAACAGCTTTCCATATAAGAACACAGCACATCTATTTTCATGCTTAGTGAAAACTGGAAGAGGTTTTTTGTGTGTTAAATTCTCTTCACTAACACCAGAATTTTTTAGCAACCTAGATCTTAACTAGATCCTGCAGAGGACACTTGATAGCTTGTTCATCAGTAATTTAGGAAACAGTATTTCTAGTAATTTACCTTTCATCTACATCTTGAAACAAACAGGTTGGTGTATGTGTAGTTGTAAAAATTCTTTTGTCAGGAGGAATTCTGGGTGCTGAGAGAAAAATAAAAATAGATTAATAATGAACTTTTGCATAAAGAGAATCATTTAAGGCACATGCTTCCATTTAAATGCTGAGTATAATCTCAAAATCTGTCTGTCAAAAAGCATGTACAAAAGCAGCTTGCTAGCTCCAGCCCTCTCAGCAAGGGCAGGGAACAGCACCAATTAACTTCCCCATTTGTAACATTAAAGATCAGTGACAGCAACTCACACAGTTGGCTATCTTGGGCTGAAATCAAGCTGCGTTGCATTGCATACATATTCCTGTCGAGTTTTTATTTTCACGAAACCAAACTAGTCTTTGTATGCTGAAGAATTTACCTTCATAACCAGAGTGCACTTTTTCTGCCAGCAGCACACAGCAAAGCTGGTCCTCTGCTATCTCCGGGTCTTGCACTTTGATAAGGTACGGAGTCATCCGAAACGGGTGATAGCAAATCTCATTCTCACGCTCCTTCCCTGCACTGTTAAATAGATTGATTTATTATTTCAACAGATACATTAAAACTTTGTTTAGCATAAAATGAATCTATTGTAAATGACAAGGCTGAAGGATGGCTCCTAAAAGGAGTGACCAAGAACTTAGAGTTCTGATTTCCTGTCTGTAGAGTATGATCTAATTCCCATGGCATCATTGGCATATCAGCTGCAATAGAGATCACATTTTATTTTGGACAGTAGAAAGGACAAAAATCCATATATGCTTTAAATGCTACATTTTATGAAAGACAAGGAAAAAAGATGACACCCACCCACTTTCATATCAATTCTCATCCACAAAGGCAGCCATTAAGTCAGTTATACTTTATAACTACAACATATCTCAGTACACAAAAACCTTTACTCAATATTTATTCTGATCTAAAAAGAAAAAAGACCTAGAAGTTCATACATATTATCATAGTTGTCTGCTTAATATGAATCTGAATCATAGTAATGAAAATACCAGCCATTTAGATAGGCACTAGAAAAAAAAAGTTCCAGGTGTAGTGCCTTTTACACAAGCATAGCTTTTGCAACCCATGTAGTTGCTTTTTGCTCTAGTAAACGCCACCACCTGCAGTATTTTTACAGGGCATTCATTCAATCCAATTCTGGCAATCTCAAATTCCTTTAAAAAATACTCAGACTTTAATGGTATTTATTTACTCCAGAATAATAGGAGCCACAACTTCTCCTTTCTGAAATTGCTACTGGAGTGGCAACAGGCTGTAAGAAATTAAATTGTAAAAGAAAAGCAGAAGAAAGAATAAGTTGCTAGCGTCTCCCAAATAAAGCAATGGAAGGGAGGGAAGACAGGAAAAGGAGAAAGAAAAATAAAAACACAACTGCAGTACCTAGTGCCTGAGGAAAACACAAATCAAGCTATCCTCAAATACATTTCTTCACTGAACACTTCAGATAAATTTGAGATTTGCCCTTAGTCTTGTAGAAAGAAAGATTGTGTGAGGTGCTGAACACAGCAGTACAACTCACACGGGCTGAAGACTTCCACAGCCATAGGAGATACTGTGTTAGCCTCATTTGTTGTGCAAAAGTCAACATTTAAACTGATTAACTTTTAAGAGGCAGCTTCCTGAAAGTGTCCTGCAGTTCTCTGCAGTGTCTACAAGTTAAATAACTACAGAGCATGACATAAGTTTCATCTTTTATTCATAGTATAGAAAAGTATGAAACTTAAGTGAAATACTTCTGTATTGAACAGTTTCATAATGTAATATTAAAACTCATCATAATCCTATCATCTTACCTGATGCGACAGAAGAAAGACTTCTCTTCCATGCAGTCCTGGGTGGAAGACTCTAGAAATATTAAATATTGCATAACAAGTTACAAAATGATTATAAGATCACCATGTTTAAGACATTTCGTCTCCATCAGAACAACAACAAAAAGACCAAATTCTTTACAATCTTTCACGAGCCCCAAAGCCTTCCTTTTCAAAACACAACTCAGTGAAAAATTTCTTTATACATGTAGATTTTGCAGTAAATAACTTGCTAAAAAAATATATACTTTATAGGCAACTAAACTTGCATACCATGTGGACACTGAAGCTTAGCGTGAGAATCACAGCTGCTTGCTTATTAAGCCTTCTGCCAAAACCACTCCTAAACAGTGCTCTAGCTTGAGCTGTTTACCCATTAGATTTTCTGCTATAATTTATAGTGTTGACCTAAAATATTAGATTAGTCAAGAACCACAGCTGAGTCTCTTTCCTAAAGGGGCACTAGGACAGCTAGATCAAATCTACTTATCAAGCCAAGCAGCACCTTTTCATCAAGGCTTCCCCCATCTTTTAAACTCCTTTCCCTCCTTTTCAAGGGGAGACTTTGCAGACTGCTTTTTAAGGCAAGCTCCAGTCTTTAACAGCTCCAAAAGGCCCAAGTGTGTAATATCTGTAAATATTACATTCCTTTTAGCCAATACACAGGATGAGGTACCGCAGTTCTGCTAGCTGCATTTTAGAAATTTGAAGTTATGCATAAATGGGACAAATATTTGTTTCAGAAAAAAAAAAAAAAAACCACACGCAATCAAACAGCATCCACAACAAATGACTAACTGGCACCATATGGTCTAAATTCAGCATCAAGATTGCTTCAAATTGGAGGTTGGACTAGACACCTCTGTGTGTCTGCTAGCCTATATGATTGTAAGGCTGTTCAATATCAGAAACACTTGATATACATTTTTGTTGGTAGTGTTCTCAAATTAAACAAGACCCACACAAGGCTTAACTTTACAGACTTGGTAAACAAAGGATGAGAATTTCAAACATTTATAGCAGACCATGTATTTTAATGTTTGCTTAAAAATTGGCAGATTTTTTTCCGTTTCTAAAAGCTGCAACTACACTAATAAAACTATCTTCCCCCAAACAAATATGAAGTGCCCAAAAATAACTGCGATGTTTTACTACTAATTTGCTTAACAGCATTTTTTTAAAACTAAAAGAACAGAGATACAATTACACTAGTTTAATAAGCTGCAGGGTTAAGTACATGTTTCTTCACTGCAATCAAGTATCCTGTATGCAAGCTATAATTATAATTTGAATATAATCAATAATTTAAGAACATTGGGTATTATCCTCATTATATTTCAAGAAATGAAGTTTTAAAGGTCTATGGTCATTTGACTACAACAAAAAAGGGGAAAGCAAACTCACTATTCAGTGTAAATATCTACTTTGTTTCCATTCATCAACTGGATCAAAGAGGGCCCTGAACTAAATAACATCCTTTAGAAGATTTCTAGCCACCAAACAAGCCTTGCTAATTCATACAAGCACACTATACACCCGGAATCCTTCAGAGTTGTCCTAATCACACAGGTGTATTATACCTCCAAGAAGTGTCAGAGAAGGATGGCAGGACATCCAAAAAAACCTATATACATATATATAGATAGATAGATATGTATATACACACACACACACACCCCATCTCCTGCCACAGTTTAAATATTTACATCCGCAGAACTGGAAGAAAGTTAGGAGAATTATCTGAAACCACTCACCAGCTCTATTGCAAATATTCCACGATGGCAATCTATATGGCGTAGTGGAGGTGTAGAACACGCTGACATCCTGAGGCGCCAGGAACTCCACAAATTTGGCATTTTTAAAATAACCTCTCTTACAGCGGAGAATAGAAGCAGCTTGATCAGAGATATACAAGATTTTCCCAGTAATCAAGGACACAGCTACAGCAAACATATCCTTAAAGAAAAAAAATCTCAGATTATTCAGACAGTTTAAAACATCCTTAATCTAATGCATACTGTTTAGGGAAGAAAATAGACTCAAAAGTATACCCCAGTCCTAGCTGTACAGTAGACTCCCTATTTATTTTACCTTGTAGGCAACCTTTGTTGCTGAGAGCTTAAAGTAGGGGTTTTTTCATTTGTTTTCATTTTTTCCCTATATTTATGGAACCCCACCATCACCCCATTATTTCACTCATTTCAGAAGCTCATACATTCAAGTAGAGGCTTCAGAAATTACATATATATATTCACTATATATGTACACACATACACACACACATATATATAATGGAAGGCAGTCTCATAAATTTAGATAAACCATTTTGGATTAATCCATAAATAAGTGGGAGGGTGAAACCTCAGACTATCATTTTACCGCTGGGCTTACATTGATCATCTAGAAGACACCACCCCTGGATCATACAAGGATCCTACACCAGCTGTAAGAACTAGACAAATGGCACTGAAGAGGACCCCAAGCTATAACGGTACAAATGCTTTGATCATTTTTCAGTTACATGAACACAAACTGGAATAATTTCAATATACCAGAATAATGTCTAGTCTTAAGGATAAGCTAAGATAATTCATAATGTCCCTTGACTGAGCATTGAAAAGAGTTTATCTCCAACTCTAGGTTTTCTAAAATGAAAGACAACAAAGTCTCTCAGAGCATTTAAGTGCGAGAATGTTAATATGTATCACACACTGCCTTTAAGCACAAGGTGCAATTCAGAGGATCAACAAGTTTAGGCTACTATTTTCCCACCAAACTACCAGGGAAAAATCTAATATCAGGAGGGTAGATTCAGCTGCTACTATCAAAGCTTACAAAGGGCTCCGAGTTTCTACTCAGAAATCGGTTTCCTCAGGTGATTGGGCTAGGGTCCAACTCCTACCTTGCAAAAAAATGTAATTCCCGAGAAATTCGGAGAACATTTCAAACAGACACTGCAGACGTGGGTCAGCGTACTCACCGCGTTCTTCATGATGTATTCGGAGGTTATATTCTCGACCTCTTCCACCGTGTATGATGACACATTGAGTCCAGAAGGCTGGCTTTCATTAATCATCAGCAACTGGTAATACTCCTCATTGGCTATAGGAGAACACGAAACAACTTAGTTATAATCAGAATTCAAAATCTCACCCATAGACAACCTGGAAAGAGTTAAATGGGCTATTGGGGCAGGGGGAGAGCAAAGGGACTGCAAGGACAGGATGGACTGTTGGGAAATCTGGATACTGCTCCAAATGGGGTTTTTCCCCCTTAGTGTAGTTTCCTTATCAATAATCTATACAAATGTAACATTCTTCCATTGTAACCAAATATGCTCCATACAACCCATCAAGCATTATTGTCCATTACAATACATTTTGGACTATAGGACCGGTTCAGAGAATTTTTTTTTTTTTTGGCAAATGAATTTTCTAATTAAACAAACATCAGTAAAAGACCAAACAGACAGAAATCTTCTCCAGCTCCCCAAGGAACTCCAGTTAATGGACTCAACAAGCAGGAAAACACAAAAATATTTTTTAGAGAGGTTTTCAAGCATAATAAGCTTAGCTTTAAACAGACAATGACATTCAAACTCCTATTTACATTTACTTTCATCAAGCTTGGCATTATCTAAGCAGCTTCATACTCGATTACCTTTAACTTGCTTAATGCTTTTAAGAGCATATTTCAGTGTTGTTAGGACACTGGATTTGCCTTTGATTCTCTTTTCAGAAGGAAGATGAGCTTTCAGCTCTTGTAATGTTTTCAACAATTCCTTTTGAGTTTTGGCTTTAGTGGACTGCTCACTACTGCAAAATTAAAGACAAAAAAAAGTATCACTTGAATGCTTGAAATGACATCCCATCCTCATACAAGTCCAAACACATTCTGATGTCTATCACAAATTTAAACAGCTAGCCACTTTATATATTTCTAGTATCAACATTCAGAACTTTAGGTAGTTCTAAAATTACCTACAATAATTTAAATTGATTTTGCACCACCTAAAGCATTACTGTATGAGGTACTTTCTGTATATACAATAGCATATACTCCCAAGCTCCAAAGAATCCAAAGGATTCTATGACAGTCATCCCTCTCCTTTATTAGTGTTATAATCCTTAGTTTCTTCCAAATTCATAGAAATGTTTGTGGACTTCAAAGGAGAGAAGCAGAAGGTCCATTCAAGTATTCACCTCCTGTTCTAGAAGGTTCTCATAGGAAAGGCCCTTGAAAAGGGAACGGCAGTGGGAGAGCATCAAGTTAACAGAACAAATGGAGCAATCCTGGGAACAACGTATCCCAGTTAAACATTAGGCAACATATTACATAACGTAAGGAAACTTGACTATGTATGCAGAGTAGAGGATCAGAGAAGAGGGCTGGACACAGAAATTGTGTTTGCATTTCTCAGATACACGTTTAATAGCGTTGTCTTGAGGCAGAAGGTCAAACTACACGAGAATCACTGCCAATGTACGAAAATTATTGACTTCCTTTACAGTTACTGTTATATCAAGCAATTACTCAGAGATGCTGACCCAAAAAAAAAAAAAAAAAAGGTGGGCAGAAGAGTTAAGTGAAAAAAGTGGCAAGATGACTAAAATGAGCAGTAGGTAGATAGGAAACAGGTAAAAAATAAATAAATAAATAAATAAAAAGGTCACCTTGTCTTTTGCACTGGAATAAATTTTAAAAGCTAAGAGAGGACTAAACCCTCCTGAGGGAGGGCTCTTTCTCATCAAGAGGAAGGTGTTCTGTCAACTCCTGATGGTCACACCTTCTGGAACTCCAAGGAGCTATCCTAAGGACTACAGCTGAAACAGTCTTGGCAACTGCCTTGTATTCAGTTTCAGCCTTCTGGTAGCTTAAGTGGATTTATGAACATTTTACTGAGAAATCATAAAAGCAAATCAGTTCATTTGGGTAGATCAATTCACCTGACAGGCGTTGGATATATTCAGCAAAAAAATACTTAGAAAGTGACAATGCTGGTTTGTGTTACAGAAAACACAACCAATATTCCTGGTTACATCATTCCACACTATGCGAAAGATTTATTCACTTAATCATTCTGTACTGAGAAATAATAGCAAAGCACAACAGAAAAGAATGTAGAGCTCCTTTGGAAAACATTTTATTTACCCTCTGCATGAAAGACCCATCTACAATCTGGCTCAACAGTTGCACCTGACAGAATCAGACAGGACCTTATTAATAGAAGAAGAAGAGGGAAAGAAAAAGGGGAAGGGTTATGAAATATCTATGTGTACTGCTATTTCTGTAACCTCTGGGTATGCTTTAGAAAAGTGGTCAGAACCCTCAGCAAGAAAAGAAGCCTTCCCAAATTATCCTACAATGGCAGCAAATACAGAAGATGAGCTTCCTTGAAAAATAAGTCATCCGAAGGCATTTCAGAAGATCAGAAGAGTCAGGCACAGTAGACAACTACAGGGCAAGTTTATCTGCAGAGTATATATATAAAACAGGAAATTCTACAAAAATAGGAGATGTGCATTTTGCTTTATGTAGAGAATGAACTGAAAAAGTATTCATAAATATTAAACTGCATTACTAGATTATAGTGACAATGAAAGCAACCCCCAATACCCTTTGAATCAAAGGTTAAACCTAAATCTTATCAGGGTACTCTTGTCAGCTCTTCAAAGAGCACTGTCTAACCATCCTGTCTGGTGACCAGATCATGTTCTGTAGCTCTCTAGTACTAAGCTTGACAGCTAGGGAAAATGCTGTACCATCTCAAGCCATATTTATTTCTGAGTAGACAGCTGTTAAAAAAACAAAAAGAAGCTGAAATAAGATGGCCCCGAAGATCTTGCTGTGAATGGAATCACTGCAAAAGGAATGTTAAGAAACACCTATGTTCACTCTGCTCTTCACATTAAGCAAAGTGAACTCAATTTTCACTTAAGGATATAGTACAAAACAAGGTCTCTTCCCAGCGCCCACAAGGCAGGCAGATACTATGTTCATCAAACACCAAATGGTGAAAAGGGGCCAGCAAAAGAGGTCATTTTAATTTACCACTTCTCTAGGAACTGCCTCAGGTGAAAACAGTTTCAGACTGGCAAGCATAGATAGGAATCTTAACAGGAATACGCTAGAGCTAGATATCCTTGGTTTGCTTAGATGAAGTTTTCCTTCCTGATCAGAAGTTGACTTCAAAGTTTAGTAGGGCATTCTGAAGAGCCCAAGTTTGAGCTTCAGTGCCACCAGGTTTCTCAAGGCTACCAGGGTCAGAAGCCGAGTTCATACAGAGGTACTCCTGCTGATGCTGTTGGTCTATCCTTATAAACTGGAGGCTTGAATCCTGGCCAAGGGAACACAGGAGAGACACATGGTATGGCTGCTGGACATCACAACACATCCAACTCAGTGGCTGAATTTTGATGTCGAATCACTACTCAGTCCCCAGGAAAGGGCTTCAGACCAACACCTGAATCATGTCATATTTCAAGACAAACTTCAAAAAAAGCCAGTATAGCTGAAGCAATACCCCGAAACAACCACAAAAATAAAATTACTAAGTTACTAAAGTAAGAAGCCAGAGGTTACTGCACAACTTGCACAGAACAGAAACAAAAAACTTGAATTCAACCTAATGTCAAGAGGACCTACACACAAGGCACATTCTACTGATTTGATAGGAAGTGAAAGAAACAGGGTAGGATTTCATGCATTCATACAGGTATAGGCCAAAAGAAGTAGAAAACATGCTCCCAGGAAAAACAAAACAACAACAACAAAAAAAAACACACACACACACATCCACTATTCAGGATTTGTCAGTATGTACATTTACCAAAGAAATAAATCAATATGTAATCTCAAGATGCTTATTAAAAATTAATGCATATTAAGTTACCTGCATCCACTGCTAGATTGATTGTGCTCAGAGTTTGCAATTATCAGACTAAATGCATTTGAGCTTGAACTAGAACAAAGAAAGAGAAAGAGAATGGTATTAGTAAATCTAACATACCACTTATTTTTCTTAGCTGTATATTTCCTCATTAACGACTGGCTATTTGAGGGGAGAGAAAGACACTTTAAAAAGTTCTGTCCAGCACAGCTAATGGAAACTGTAACTGGAGACGGTACATTTTTGTCTTTAAGAAGGTTCTCACAGTATCTTTACTCTGTACGCTAAGCTACTAAAAAGACGAAAATAGTACAGCTGCATCCTGACATACAATATATCAGTAATTTTTACTACTTAAAGAAGTTCTAAGTGAGAAGTTCTAAGTTGTAAGTTTATACTTACAACAGTAAGTATAAAAGGCCAATCAACCAAGCAATACTGAGGAAATACTGAAGTTAAGCTCGTCCTGTGAAACACTGAAGACTTGTTATTAACTAAATGTACTACACATTTTACAGCATTCAAGAGCGCAAGTTAACTAGTGGAAGGAACAGTAAGCTCCAAATTGAAGATACACTTTATATTGTGGTTATTACCCATATATTAGGTTTAAACGAAAAAGGTGTGCAGTGACAAAACCAAAATTAGCAACTACCTTTTTTGACAGTCTGAAGATTCCATGAGCATTGCTGAACCTTTGCCATTTTCATCCGATTCATGGCCATGAGAATCATGTCCACTGGAGTAGTTTTCATTTGTGTCATTCCCACTGAAGTCATTTCCACTGGATCCACTGCTCATTTCGATATCTTCCTGAAGAACTTCATGAGGCTGCTCAGGCTTTGCCTGAATTTCTGAATCTCCAGCAATCATCTGGCTGTGGTTGCTTGCAAGTCCAGAATACTCACCCATTTTCTGTTGCTCTTTTAAAGAAAGCGATGAAGACAAATTTTCACTGATAGCAGGTTGCTGTTCAGAGTTTTGCTCCACAGTGCTAGTGTAGAACCCCCTGAACTGGATACAGTCCATGGAGCACTCATTAGAAGCGCTAACAATAGCAAGAACAAGTTAGGTCATATTCAGAATGTTCTGTCCATATCTGCCTGGAAGCACAGACCCACAAACCTGAGGAGGGGAAGAAAGAGAGATTTTATTTTTTGCCTTTGCTGACAAGCCAGAATTCTCATCAACTGATAACGTCAGTGATAGCCATATATGGAATATTTCAATGGTGGAAAGTTGAAGCTGAATACAAACACTAGTCTAACAAGGTACTATCATGGAAAAGGTACTTATTTTTTGAGCAAAATCCACAGAAACGGATAAAGTGGCAATCAAAAAAAAATCTGCAGCTAAGTTCTGCTAATATTAGCTGCAACAACTCTCTGTTTAACACAGAATCAGTATTTTTAAAGGCCTAAAAATAAATGTCTTTAACTCAACATTCATTTTAAATGCAGTATGGTTTTACTTCCCTCTCCCTAAAACCTTTGAAATTTTTTTCTTACCTTCCTGATAGGTGTTTTTCCAGACATTTTATATTTACTTTTGAACTTTTCAGAAGAAAGAATTGCTCATCTCTTCCTCTGGCCAAAGTAATATGCAAGATATCTGTTTTAAGTTGAAAGATGAAGTATAGTTTAGTGACATTTATTTAAACTATTACTATAGGTAAATACATGTTCTTAATATTATTTACAAGTATCCCATTACAGTGAGCTTTTATTTTTTAAAAAAATAAATCAATAAAGAAAAACACTCTCCCCCCCAAAAATCACATATTTTCAGGGAAGTAAAACATATCAACATTTCACTTCTGCTTCTATTCACATCAAGGATACAGGCAGTAAATTGCACCTTAGTACCTCTAACAGTTCCCAGCCATGGACTAAGGAAACCATTTTTGTCTTAGAAATTACATACTCTAGAACATGCAATAGAAGAATATTTTCTCTCAGATGAAACTCCAGTAGCATTTTGCAATGGCATCTACTCTGATGGCAAATGATTAAACCAGGCCAGATAACTCATCTGACCATCAGACAATCCATCTGAAGGATAACTCACCTAACTCATCAGATAATTGAAATAGTGACAGTTGATCTGGGTTATTTCCAGGAGATAAGCCTCACACATTGAGCCTGTGAATGGAGCTGCTGCTGGCCAGTGGTACCCATGGTGCTAGCAGTTTTGTAGCCCTTGCACAGCAAGGGCAGAAAGCACAAGGCCAGAATAGCAACAACTAGCTTTCTCTGCCAGTAACTTGAAACATAACGGGGTTCAAAACAAAAATCAAAGCGGAAAATGGCATTGGGGAAATAACTACATGAAGAGTACATGAGGAAAAACCTGTTACTGCACAGATAAAGAGCATTTTATTAAATGTCAGTCCATTCCAGTCAAGTAAACTCTTAGTTCAACTACTGCCTAAGTAAGGGCATTTATACAGTTTAAAGACTCTAGAAGCCACATCTCGAGCATCAGCTATATTACTAATTCTCAGAGAGAGCTAAGGCTACAGAGCACTTGGCAAGTCCTGCAGCAACCTACCCAGCTAGCAAAGGGATGGCCTTTTACCTTCCCTGTTTGCAGGGAAGTATTTTGTTCAAGTAACTGCTGCACCCACAAAATTGCACAGATTACACCATGATTAAAATGAAGCCTTTGAAAGAAGACTGCAAAGGCACCATCTGAATTTGAGATGAAATCCAACATCTCTTGCACTATGTTCTGTTCTCAAGGTAGGGGCTAGTTCAGCATTATTTCAATAGTACTTCCTTAGGTGGAAGATAACCATTGTCAAGACATATATATATATATTTGTAAAATGTTCAGTAACTTTAGTGAAAAGAATCACCAGCTGATAAAGAAATGGGTACTGGTCTAGGGATGGTATCATGATTTTTCTCTTTTCCCATTTGGCAGAAGTGTTTATATCAGGAAACACACTGTGTTACTGCTGCCTTTAACTGGCTACATACCAGAGCTTCTGCAGGTTTGCCCACAAGTCTCCACATGGTTCCTACCTACGTTACAGGGAGACAATTTGGAGCCCAGGGCTCCAATAAACCTAGAGATGAAATGCACATCCCTGTAACGGAGAACAGGTTAAGTTCAGCCTTCTTTTTAAAGGCATCTTTTATTAAAGTTGCCCTAACTTGTACAGGTGAAATGATATTCTTATCTAAGATTTATGTCACCACAAGTTAAATCTGTTTAAAAATCTGAAACACCTCAGGGCCAATAGCACATGTCAGATCAAGGAAAACAGGAAGAACCAGGAGGAAAGAACATCAACAAATTAACACGGACTTCCAAGAGCTTATGGGGAAGAGCTTGATGCATTCACTGACAGTACTGAAATCTCTCAAACAAGGCGGACGTTAATTATGTCCATAGTCAGCTGGGAACAGAATGTGCGAGAGAAACTATATTTAAATGCAGTCATCTTTGATTGCAACATCCTAAAGCACCAATAAAAAAAAATAAAAGAACTTTAAAAAAAGTCCCACTGAAGAACAAGCAAAAGAACATACAGAAAGGTGGGGAGTTCAATGTGGAAGAAGAAAGGAAAAGAAGGAAGAGAAGTTTATCCAAAACAAAATCTGATATAACTTCATATTTAAGAAGAATAATACAAAACAAACATACACACTTGGGATAGTGTGTGTGGGATGCATCAACAATAATATATGACATAAGTTTGGAAAAATTCTCCAAGAGATGAGAACAACTATGAGAAGAGAACAGACAGGCAATTATCTTTTGTTGTGCTCTGTGCCTGCAATTTTAGATAAGAACCAACTGGTGCATCTGGCTAGAATTTACTTTCAGACAGAAGAATATCTTAAGTGAATCATCTGCATGCACAGTCAAGCACCATGCTAACATTTCAGTAATACAGAGGATCAGTCATCCCAAAGAGATTAATTAATATTGTAACTCATCTCAGTCAAAAGGCCATAATAAATTGCACATATCCATTCCACTTATATGCTTGAATACGTTCCAAGTAAATAACCAAACAAGAATGAAAAAACAAGAGTACACTTTCCTCTGCTGCTACTGCAGTTTCAGGATGTTAACTGCATCCCGAACTAAGCTCACCAGGGAAGCAGAGCTTGCCTCGAGGAAACAGTGCAAGTGTTTTTAGGTTTGATCTTGAGACAAGGAAGTTCAATCCAGTGTTTTCTTTCTGCTATAATTTTCTAAGCTATAAAGTATATTTTCCTTTTGATTATGTAAATAAATATTTGTTTTCAATCTGAAATTGGCACAAGTTAGGCTCAATTTTAAGGTAATTGGTGCACAAAGCAGCCTACAATTCCTGGCAGAACAAACCTCTGAAAGTCACTCTCAGTCTGGATCTATCAATACCCTGCAACAGAGTACAAAAAGGCAAAACTTCCACTGAGCGATAATTTAGACATTAATATTGCCAGGCTAGACAAGCACAAAGCATCGTCTGCCTACACATTAGCCAGAGAAACTCCTTATCTAGAGCAGAAACAGCTTTAGATTCAACAGTCCCAGAAGACAAATGGACAATCCCCGAGGAAATAATGGATTTCCGCTTCTGGGAAACCCTCCTAAGAATTCAGGTGAGACTGTAAAACACCAAGAAGGGAAGTTCCTTTGGAAAATATGGCACTTACAAAGCTGATCTCAGCATGAGCCTGCATGGTTACATGCAAAGAACAGATTTTTTTTCAGATTTCATTTCATGAAACAAACTTCATACCTAGCATTAACATCTAAAAGATGAAAATTAAAACCTAGCATCAGATAAATCAACTTAAGAACTGAGCAAGAAGAAAACATTTCAAGACTCTGAAGACTTCTTTGGTTCTATATTTGCAACCAATATGAACTTTATTTAAAAATGAAGCAAGAGGTATACAGGAGTTTAGAACTGCTTCAACCACCCGAACATTAAGGGACTAACTCTTCTAATACTGGTAGGAGACATTTCTCCTAGTCAGGATTTTACTTTATTGGAGGTTTTAATGACAAGGTGACTTTTCATGCATATTCTGAAAGACGACTTGGCCAGTGGTAAAATTTTCTCATTCGTATGACGAGTACCTAGCAGGGATTTAGTTGTATCATGCAATTTTAGAGAAAATTGAAAATTAACATCTACAATGAATGCATTCTGCCAGTGCAATTAGACAATAATTAAATGCTTGGCAGCAACGCAGTAAGAAAAAAATATTGAAAAATAAACATTAATAATGGAAAAATGACTTGTCCATCTGCATGGACATGACTTCACCAGCACTAGCTCTGAGAACTCCACTTTTTTGTAGCAATAGATAAAACAATTAACAGAACATCTTCACTAGGACACTTTCTAGGAAGGAGAACAGAGAGGAGAGAGAGAAAAAAAAAAAAAAAGCTAGTTTCAGACTTCACTATAGAAGAAATAACTTGCATAGCATCAACTTCCAGCAAGCCTTTTTGAATAGGTTTCTCTTGTGAAAAATTTCCCACTGCACTGCAAGCCATGAAAAACAAGTTGTGTGTGTGTGTGTGCGCACTCGCATTTATTATTATATTGACATCATATAGATCATCACACGTGTTCTATGCAAGCCAGATTTCACAGCATTTATTTCACATTTTGCTGTTCATGAATATAGGACTATTCTAAACTGCTGCATACTTCAAAAAAAGTGAGGAAAAAAAAATGAGGGAAGAGGCAGTTGACCTTTTTTATGTAATGAAACAAGCTTATTCTCAAAGCTGTCCATAGGAAGGATGCTTTGGTCTATAGTAAAAACTCAAACCTGAATTTAAGGAAAAGTATGTTTTTAGGCTAAAATTCTCTTTTCTTCAAAGAACTTAATTCCCCACAGTTTATATCCAACAAATAGTTCTGAATATGTACACGCCTGAAATTACAGTTTTAAGATAAAACATACAACAGTAATTTTCTACATAAACTCTACAGAACAAGAGTGCATCTTTCTAACATGAACCACAAAAATTATCCATATTCCTTACCTGTTTTTCCTAAGAAAGGTTGGTAAAACTGTATATCAAGTTCCCTCCCAGCTAGCATCAAAAGCATGAAGTGCCTAGGTCCAGAGTCTCCCACATGCACTTAATTCTTGTCTCATCTTCTTCTACTGGAAATCTTTGACCATTACAGAGTCCGGACACCTCTAAAACTATAAAATATAAAAGAAATACCTGGGCCCCCCAACAGTGTCCTCTTCAAACAGATACCAGAGATGCTCAGTTATGCCATGCCTATGCAGATAAACATTGGTTAAACATTCAACAAAGGAATCACAGAAACAACTTAGCATTTTAAACACTTCTAGTGTAGAGTAAGGTCTCGTAAGTAACAGAACCTTCTACACTAAGTGTATTGGAACACGTCACTACACAAAGGAGTTCCAAAATAAAAAAAACACAAGTTCAAAAAGGCAAATTTCTTAGAGTGATGTAACCATCTACCACACAAAGTACTGCATTTGAATACGCACAAGGAATGTTTGGAAAAAAAAAATTTTGGAAGAGCATTCGAATCCCAAGCTAACTGTTTTGGAAGCCAGCCCATGCTAACATGCCTTATTTAAAAGGCTATGTGTCTACCAGCTGTTAACAGTACATTTGCGTTGGCCGGACTTCAGGAAGAATTTATTCACAACGTTCCATTCTGTAGCACACTGCAAATCCAGGGAGAGTTTTGCAAGTCTCGGATTACGATACAAATCTGGGTACGGGCTAGTTCCTTATACCTTTTCATTTCATAAGTTGATAAGGCAGGTTTTGAAAGATAAACTCTATTTCTGACCATGAGGAGTGTTACAAACAGCTTTAGGCAGAGGTACTTGCAAATTGTATGCATTTTAGCATATGCACTGTAACGTGAAATGGCTTTCTGCACTAGTTCAATACTCATTTAAAGACAACCTTTCCAATTCCCTCATGCCAGTTCGTCTCCCTGCTAGTCATATGTTCCATAGTGGAACTTAAAATTTGACAGCATTAATCGAGAAGATCTACAAGAAATTAGCCACAAGGATTTGTCTGACTACTACTGATGTGACACAGCACCCATTTAGTTTAATGGCCCTATCACAAAATTTTCATAGATAATAAACCATTAAAAGTGTTTACAAAGAAAAACAAAGTATGGGTTTGGAGAGGACTTTCACAGTAGTTCCATGTACCACTTGAATTGGGTATAACATTGGCTTCATCTACTTAATGAGTTAATGAAGAAATTAAGAGAAAGCAGTTCCTATTGCTTCTTAAAATTCTCACTATAAGCCTTTTCATAGTTACTTGGAAGCTAAGACCAAGCTATATCAAGAGGAACTTATCTGAAACTAAGTAAAAGTCAAAGCATTCATTTTATCAGTTAAAATTAAATAATAGAACCAGAAGATTAGATTTATCAGAGGAAACATGCAGGTGACTTAGTCCAAATCCTAAAGAACAAGAGAGTTCTTTCCCTCAAGAAATCCTCCCTATGGATCCCTGGATGAAGCCAACAGAAAATCCATGTATGGCATCTTAACAAGGCTTTTCTACAAAAAGAAGTCTAATTTAATCAGTATGGAAAGAATATTGAGTTTCTGATATTTCTTTTAATACTGAGGTAATCTATTTTAAACACAGACTTCAAATATTAGAAAAGAACAAACAACCTGCTTTAGGGAACACACCTGTATTAGAGGAACACAGCCAAGTTCACTGTCTAGACAGAATTGAAGTCATACCTGCAGTATGAAAAAAAAAAAAAAAAAAACAAGAAAAAAACCCCAAATCAACATGTCAGCTTTAAAAACTTAAACTGTTCAGCCTTTGTAGCTGTAACTTCGGTCATTTAGACAAATCATTCACTTCAGTATTAACCCTCAAAACATTCAATTAGTGTTTCACCTTCCCCTGAGCATCACAGTACTATACAGCACTGGATATTATTCTGTCTCTTATCCTTCTGCCTTTGGCCCGTTCCTGCTCCACCACCAGATCACATATAATAAAACCATTTGGGTAAGTTTCCTTCATATCATAGACTGCATAATTTTTCCCCCTACCTTTTCTTTGCATCCAGAACACATCCCACCTGAATTGCAACAAGCTTTTTTGTCATCAGCTTCTCAAACACTGAATGTAAAACATTCATAGGTCAGTAGCGCTGAAGCCACATGCTGAGGTTCTTGAATACATATTAAAATAGCACTAGTTAGAAGAATAGCATTTTAGTGTTTTTTTTTTCTCCCCTAAACACAGCAGCATCTTTAATTGATCGAACCATGAATTTTCCTTTTCAAAATTAGTCAAAATATCTACAATACAAAAACTGGAAATTATTAATAGACTACCGTGCAGCAAACAGCACTAACGTAACACTTCATATTGGATGTTACACTAAATCTTTTCCATTTTCCTAAAATTAGAGGATCTAGATCACTTCCACGTGCTTAATGATTTGTGCAGCAGGTCTTCTTGAAGTCCTGAATATATTTGTACTTTCAGCATTCTGATAAGACTACAGTTCAAGAGGAGCATCCAAAGCAGCAGCAACAACAAAGTCAGCTCAGACTGAGAAAGAACTGATATTAGAATGGCTTTCCTAAGAAAACCGTATGTAGGACACCTACCTTAATGAGCACACTAATTCTAATTCTGATCTGGCCAAATCAGGCAGAAAGCGTCATCAACATGTTCCTGAAAAATAAAATCCAATAGATCTGTATGGTTCTACAAGGAAGACTTTAAAAACTCATTTATGAAAAACAGATTTTCTTTTGGCAATTTAGTAATGAAATGCAGAATGAATCATAGAAGATATAATATACATGGACAACAGTTATGCCAATAATATACATATATGAAGAGCAGTTACACACTATATATAATATATATACACATGTATATTTATATATTCACATGAAGACTGCAAAGCAAAGAGGAGTATGAGAGATTGTCTTATTCTTACGATTTACTATTACAATCTACACTGTTTCCTTGAAAAGGCATGGGATAACTATTGACTGAATTCTATTACCTTTTTCTTCTTTTCCTACAGATGATCAACTGATGGTCTTAAAGCACTTTACTGCTGAAATACAACTCCAAACTAGCCTTAGCAGATGGCAACCTCCTCAGAGAGCTAATTCAACTGAGATGGAAGTATGCACATCAGCACCAAGAACAGTTTCACGTTCCAAGATAGGAATATGAGTTCCTAGAGCTGTTTCTTTGTCATGTCCCAAGGAAGCAAACTGACTCAAATTCCTCAGTCCCCAACAGATGGTTCCTGAATTGACCTAAGTTTATCCCACCAATCACCTGTCTTACTGCAGCACCCTAAACATCAGGAGAGACTTGATTTTTCCACCATACCAATCACGACTATTATTTCGTTTCCTCCCCAGTTACCCTATGTGGGACTTTGTTTTTAAAACTGCCTGTTTTCCTTGCAGGATAGTTAATACCAAAGAATTACCTGCAACAACAGGACAAATTCACCTCTCTTTTTACCACAAATAGCATGGTAACAACACACTGTTGGACTTAGTAAGTCAACCTCATGAAGAGCCAAAGAATCTCATCTCTACTGTGCTTATTGACCAAAGAGCCCAAGAATCTCATCTATATCGTGCTTACTGACCTAGGCCAGCTCTTAATCCATCATTTGCCTTCACATGATTCGAAGAAGCCCATTACAAAAATAACCCCCAAGAGTAGCTAAAAAGCACTCTCCATACCTGCCCTGTGCTAATTTCTATATAACCTTCAGACTCCATAATTAATTTTGTTCATTTCCTAAATATGCTTTGTATTAAGTGTGATTTTTTTAAAAAGATACTTGATTTCTTTTTAAATGAAAACTCTCCTTCCTTCCTGAGCAGAACTAAATGTGCCTGGAGAGATGACTAAACAGAAGAACCGTAGTCAAAACTCTGAATTTGTACACATCAACTCTTGGCTTCTTGAGCAAGGCAACGCACGTGGTACATTAGAGAACACGCTGTCACAGAAAGGAGGGAAAATGAATCATCCCCATCATGCAGTCATATACCTTAACTTGATTTCAGCACACAGCTGAAATTACATATTTTCTAAAATCTCTATAGCATAGTATTTTCATTTTGATATTTGTTAACATCACCACTAAGCAATATATTGAATGTCTACTACTCTCTTCCCCTAAAAAAGAAAGGGGCAGAATTTCATCATATGGCATTACATTCACACAAGCTTCAGTCTAATACTACTCTTGAACCAGATCCAAAATGCAACAGTGTCTAAATACTTCAGTCAGAATCAAAGTCCCTTTCTGGAAGCCTCTACACCAAAAAGTGCCTGATTACTACTAAAGTGGCTCCCACTGCATCACTAACAGACCCTGGGAAGTGTGCAAGCTAAAAAATATGATATACTTTTCCTACAAGTTGGATATATTAGTAGTGACAAATAAGAGCTTAAAGGCACATGGGAACCCAGAGCACAAACAGTAATTGCTATACCCAGGAGAAAGGGAATTAAAGGCAGAAGAGAACTTAATATCCTCAAGAACTTGGCACAGTTAGAGAAACTAAAAAGACAGATATACACAGAAGTACATGTATGAGATATAAAGGTCAAGCACACACACACAAAAAAAAAGACACAAAAGCTGCAAGGAATAAAGAGAATAGGAGATAAGAACAACAAAAGAGAGGTACTGAACATCCTAATCACATTTTCTACCCCTAAGCTTCAATTATGGTGAGCACAACCATTATTTAGCACTGGAGGCTTCCATGCAGTTTTAAAAGCACACGATGTTCACAAGACTTGAGACCTTTAGCTCAACTTTTATTAAGCTACAGTTTGAAACACCTATACAAGGAAACTTCTAGCCATTATATCCATATGGAAATAAATACAGAAAGCATTACATAAGCACACTACACTCCTAAAAGCTGGAAGTAAAACCCAAGTGTTTTTCCCAATTATTTTGGCATACAAACCAATTTGCTTCCCCAGTAGCCTGTCTTTTCAAGAAGCACATGGTTACTGCTAGCATACTACTCCTGCAGCTTGCCCATGTGTCCTGCAGAACAACCTTCAACTCGGGCCTACTGAGGTGCTTTCTATGCATTTCAGTCTCCTTGTCACTTAAACAGCATGCCTGGGCTCTGCCTTTTCAGGGGCTTTCCAAAAAAAGTTTTGCTCTCTCTTGGGAAAGAATGAAGGAGAAGGAAAGACTGCACTCTGCAGTTATTTATCTCAAGGAAGGTAAGTTTAGCCTCAGAGCCTCACTCGCACACGCAGACAGGTAGGGAGAACACGCTCTCCAGAGCCAGTGGCCCTGCAACTTGCATGCGTACTCTGTACACTGCTCCTGTCCCTCAGGCACTCTCTCCGGAAGGAAAGAGCACCAAAGGAGAAGGTTTTGCAGTAGCCCATACGAGCCCAGCGCGGGCATTGGGACACCAAGCCCACACATGCCCTTAAAGGGAGCCCTTGGCAGCAGCAGCAGCCAGAGGCGAGGAGCGCTGCGCGTGCTGCCGCACCGCAGGCAGGCAGGCTGCAAGCGGGCTGCCCGCGCGGGCCTGGTGATCTACTAAGCCACTTACCGGAGCGCCAGATCACGGCGCGTATGCTCAGGCACGCGGATCCCCATGTGCTCCGGCACTTCCCTACTACGCGCATACGGACGCTGCCTACGAGCGCAACTAAACAAGCTGCAGCCCCTGCAGTCACTCCCAAGCCACCTGATCCTCCCTCGCTTTGGTCTTCTTGGCCATATTTCAGCTCACACAAGCAGCCTAGGGCCACAGGACACTCCAACAGGAAATGGTAAAGCCAGCGGCCTCTGAAGCGCTCCTTAAACAGCTGCCGCCTTTTCTGCGGTACCCTTTAAGCATGGTTCACAGGAAAAAAGCCCTTGTCTCATAGCTAAAATACTTGCAAACCAATATGTGAAGTTATTCTTTACTTAACAAAACCCAACAAGCAAGAGACCTGCTTTACTAGCAAAACCACATACAACAATAATATTTTACCCCCAACCTACAGGAGGTAAGTTTGAGACAGCTGTGTGAGGACGCAAATGGATCAGGCACCTTTAAATCCTGCACAGCACATCATCATCTGCATTGCTTTAAAGTCCACTTTTTTTTTTTAATTTTCCTTCAATTCACCCTCATCTATACTTAGAAATTCAAAATCCTTTCAATTAATAAAACTAACAGAACAACACTGATATTGCCTGATCTGCTCCTCAGTGCTTAAGGAGAGAAGATAATCTAGCAAATATTGAAGCAATTTAAAACTTGCAGAATAGAGATAAACGTGGATGTGGAAAATACAACTCCACAAACAAGAAAACCCAGTTAAAAGTCCCAGTAACCTATCATCCTCCTAAAGACATTCTGGGGCATGCAAACCAAACCCTGGACACAAAAATCAATTTTCAGAAACACCTGATTACCTCCTAATTACTATGTGGTAACATTATGAGTATAATACAATGTCTACAGCACATTCATGCCAAGTATTACACAACACCTTGGTAAGAACATGATGTTCCCTTTCAGCATAGGCCAGCTATAGCAACCCTCTATAAAACACTACAGTCGATCTAGACTAGCGATAATTTACTTGTTCTGCTGGCTACTGATAATCTACCTGCTTTTCTTTAACACCACACCGCCTTGTCCCACAAAATACTGCTTCTGTTTCTACACCTTAATAAGCAAAACAAACTTTTCTGCAGTAAAA